TTTTTGTTCCACCCTCGCAGAGCTGTTCCTAGCGGCTGACCGGCACGACAGACAGGCAGAAATAACAAAAAAAACGCTGCAGATGTTTTTCACGTCTCAAATTTTTTACGAAATTTTAAATCACTTCCGAAAATTAGACGACGATGAGAAGAAAAAATATCTGTATGCCAAGTACAAAACCGTTTATTTGAAGAAATGCTTTGACAAGGGAATAAAGCCCGAGCCCGGTTCTCCGCGGAACGAGGGGGGCGAGACACCTCCGCCAGGTTATCCGATGGGCACAGGATTAGCTCTGCAGATGCATATATGCATCTATGTATTTGCATACTTATGTGCATGTGTATACAATCCCCGCTTACACCCATAAGGACGAATGCGCGCACATTTTTTGTAACAGCCCCCGGTGATGAAGGTGCCCCCGACTGGGAGGAGATGCACCAAGGAGAGCCCAACCAACAAACCACTCACGGAGACTACACGGAGAACTGCGATCGTTTAAGGGACATGCACAAGTTTGAATTGGGTTAAAGAAAAAGTGCAGCCCGTTTGGCATGACAAATGAGCCCCTTTAAAGAGTTCACTCCATTCGACGGAGTACAGACGTATCGCAGGACGGATTGTAAATATGATTCCCATTTGTTTCCCTTTCAACCTTGCGCAGAGACCTACAAAGCGCAACAGAACGGAGTCGATTTTGCTGCGAGCTTGAAGCATGCGCAATATGCCGTTAATGGTACGTGAGGGGAAAAGCGAAAAAAAAAAAAAAAACAAACACAACTAAGGAAGGTCCCAATATGTACGAATTCACGCCTGCACCAGTAGCGTTCACTGTACATTTCTCCCTTGACTTATATTTTCTAACCTTTGCAGCCCTTCTGTTTGAGGACGTCGACTCGGCCAAGCGGGAATTGCGCCTAGCCCTCTCATACCTGGAGGAGTAATGGAACTGCGCTGCTCTGCAGCTGTGTGGAAGTGGGGACAGGAAGGTGGTGCCAGGTTGTCAGCCCTTTTTTGGTGGGCAAAAGGTGCCTTCTTCCACAGAACCGTTTAGCATAAGATCAAGGCAGTTATATACTAGGAACAGGGAAGCGGTCGACGTGTCCAGCAGGGTAAACACTCAGGGGTACTCACAGAAGAGGTGGGCCAACCGTTGCGAAAAAAGGCCTCTCAGTAAGCACCCCTAAGTGTTTACGCAGCTACTTCTCTTTCGCGTCGCTCCACTTTGTTTTGTATTCACGTGTATGCTTCATTTTACTTTTCGCCATTTGCATCGAAACGCACAAATGAGTGATGGCTTCCCCTTTTAATTAAAGTCCCCTTCTAATGGATGCCTCGCGGCGCAGAAAGAGAAAAAAATGGGGGAAAAGAATCCTCCCTTCTGTTGTGTCAATCTATACATATGTTATTCCACGCTATATGGTACATAGGTACATCCCCTTGCTAGGGTGGGCCCCAATGTTGCCTTCTTTTTTTTTTTTTTTTTCCCCGTTTGGTGCGATTTGACTGAAGACAGAAGCTTCCCAAGCGTGATTGAGTTCGCCTGATGGGTCTGCTGCAAAAGAAAGGGGTGAACCCTTTTGATTTGTAACATCAGACGTTGCCGCGTTTCAAGGAAAGGAGGCTGCATGGAGGTACCCCTCCCAGTTGCGCCTACATACCTACCTACTTGTACGAAGTGAAAAAAAAAAAAAGGAAGCAGCAACTTAGCGTTATCACAGTAACGGGGCAATTTACAGCACCATCCGCATGGAACCCCTCCCGAATGAGGTGAAAAAGAACTTCTTCCCATTTTGAGTTATTGCTGAGGTGACCATCAGAGGGGGGTGTCACATCGTTGTTGCTGTTCGGAGTAGTTTTTTTTTTTTTTTCTTTTTTTTTCTACCCGTTTTTTTTGTGCTTTCTTCAGAAGAACGAATAAGCCTATCGGCATGCCTCATTCACCTTAACGGCAACGCTACTGACACTGTTGCGTTTTCTGTTTTATTAAAACCTTCCCATTTGGGTTTGTATCTAGGGGTGCCGCTTCCCCTGGGAGAGCAACACTGAGTGGCGCGGCACACTGTACCTCCTGCATATGCATCTACGGTAACCGATAGTGAAAAAGAAGCTACGTTTTAAGGCCGCTCACTGAGCAATTCCCCTTTTATGAGTGCTCCCCGCGTTGTCGTACACAATTGTGAATTGTCTGCCGAGGGGTTGCCTAACTTCTACCCAGTTCTCTGCTGCCGATGCGCGTGGTCCAACGGAGGAGCATATGCAAAGGTATTGCTTCCCTCTTCTGAGGAGATTCCACCGCGTGCAAAAGTACATATCGGTAAAGGAGGGACGCTGGAAACCCGTTGGAGTAGCCAGAAGTCTCATTAAAAATCGGGAAAGTTTACCCATGTGTAGAAGCACAATGGGAGGGGAAAACGAACAAGTGAAAGAGGAGAGGGACAACCACGTGGGGAACGCAGCTGACGAAGTGAGTGATAAGAAAAAGGAGAAAAAAGCGAAGAAGTTAGCAGAGAAAGAGAAGAAGCTAGCCAAGAAGGCAGAAAGGGAAAACCTAAAAAATGAAGCCACGAAAGTTTTGGAGCACGTTTGTGAAGACATAAAAAAGGAAAACTATGGATTTGTTAAAGTTAGCAAAATGAAGGAAAATAAAAACGACATAAGGTTGTTCAATTTGGAAGAAATATACCACACGGTGATGAAGGTAGGAGGAAGTGAAACATTCGATAGTGGAAAGCGAGAAGACACAGCTAACCACTCTGTACTAGTTGCTTCAGGTGGAGAGGACTTACTCCAGAGTGATATCTGGGTTAGAGGAAGAATCCATGATATGAGGAGCAAAGGCTCGTTAGCCTTCATCATTTTGAGGCACAAACTGTACTCCATGCAGTGTATATTAGACATAAAACATAACGACAATGACAAGAACATGATGAAATGGGTAAGTAACCTTCCACTGGAGTCCATCGTAGACATAAATGGGAAGCTTAGCAAGCCGGAAATACCAATCGATAGCACCAATATAAAGTACGAAGTACACATAAAGAAGATATTTTGCATAAGCAAGACATCAAAGGAGTTTCCTTTTCTGTTAAAGGATGCAAATATGAAAGAAACAAATGAGGAAGGAAGCATTAAGGTCAATCAGGACAATAGACTAAACAACAGATGTATCGACTTAAGGACCTATGCCAACTACAGCATCTTCTGTCTGCAGTCACAGATCTGTACGATTTTTAAGAACTTTTTGCTACAAAATAATTTCATCGAAATACATACCCCGAAATTGCTCGGAGAAAGCAGCGAAGGAGGAGCCAATGCTTTTCAGATTAACTACTTTAACCAGAAGGGCTTCCTAGCACAGTCCCCCCAATTGTACAAGCAGATGTGTATTAACGCCGGATTTGATCGGGTATTCGAAGTGGCCCCCGTTTTTCGAGCCGAAAATAGCAACACGTATAGACACCTCTGTGAGTATGTCTCCCTAGACATAGAGATGACCTACAAGTATGACTTTATGGAGAATGTCTTCTTCTACGATTCATTGTTCAAACATATTTTCACCGAGTTGACAAAAGGGGAAAGGAGCGAAATGCATATTAAGACTGTAAAGGGGCAGTACCCATGTGAAGATTTCAAATGGCTAGAGGTGACTCCAATTTTTACTTACGAAGAGGCCATCAAAATGCTAATACAACATCATAAACTTCAGTTAAAAGAGGAAGAAATTCTATCCTATGATATGTCTACCGACATGGAGAAGGAATTGGGCAAACTTGTTAAGGCCTCTCACCACACGGATTACTACATCATTATTAATTTCCCCTCAGCGCTGAGACCCTTTTATACTATGTACAAGGAAGACGAGCCCGCCATCTCCAACTCGTATGATTTCTTTATGAGGGGAGAGGAGATTTTGTCTGGGTCCCAACGGATTAGCGATGTGAATTTGTTGCTCGACAATATCAAGAGGTTTAATTTGGACGCGAACAAACTGAACTTCTATATCGACTCGTTTGCCTACTCGTCGTACCCCCACTCGGGCTGCGGCATTGGCCTCGAGCGCGTCCTCATGCTTTTCCTGGGCCTCAACAACATCCGCAAGACGTCGCTCTTCCCGCGGGACCCGAAGCGGCTCATCCCGTGAGGAAAAAAAAGGGGGGTTCCGCAGCGGTGGAAAGGGGCACCGTTAGGCGGTACAGTTAGGCCGTACAGTTAGGCCGTACAGTTAGGCCGTACAGTTACGCGGTACAGTTACGCGGTACAGTTAGGCCGTACAGTTACGCGGTACACTTAGGCGCTACGGTAACTTGATCCAGTTGCTTAGCCGAGAGACCGTGTGGAGGATATGCCCCCCTCAGTGTGGGCACAATGCGGCATAAAGCGCGATGGGTCTGCCGGACCGTATCTCGTCAGGTGGTCCACCTGCGCAGTGGTGCGGATGTGTATATCGCTTCCCCGCGCGTGATTCATTTGCCTCTATACTGTCACCGTAGCAGGAAGAGTACTTCGGCTGATGCGGCTAACGTGTGCTTGTACCCAGGCGAAAGTGCCGTTTTTGTTTTTTTTTTTTTTTTAAAGAACGAATGTCGTTTCACTTCCAAACTTACCGTTGTTGCGTGTTCAATTGTAGGAAGGGTTGTTCACTTTGTGGGTGCGGTTGGCAGGGAGGCTCTCCCCTGCACCACTGCCCATTCGCCTTCTTGCGTTTGTGAAAAACTACGAGGGTGCGATATATACACCCTGGAAGGAGAGCAGCCTCCTGATGAGACTGCATGAGGGGTAAAGGCACACCTAGAAGGAACTTAAAATTTCTGCACATTGAGAGGTATGTGTACTGACCCACTTCGACCCGAAGGAGGAATACATCTCTTCCTTCACGTCGAGCAGCGGTAAGAACCTTTGCGAAAAGGGACGCCATGCGCGTGTTGGTTGACTCACCCATTTTGGCACAGGAGAGAAAAAAAAAAAAAAAAAGGGAAAAAAAAGAGAACGAAAAGAGAACAAAAAAACAAGAAAAGAAAAAGAGAAAAGGAAGAAAATTAAAAATAAGTAACTTCCAATATAGGCCTCTCTTCAAATTGCCATTTGGCTCCTTCCCTTTGGAGTTTATTAAAAGTTTCCATTCTTTGTGGGTACCTCCTAAAAGATTGATCTCCCTTTTGTGGCATTTATCTTCACCATTGAAGCAGATTGCCCTACATTGGCGTCCCCTTTGTTTATTCCATCCTCCGCTGCTCATTTGTCTGCGCCTGTTTCCCTGACAAGAGCAGATCGAACAACTTGCAAAGAATTGCACATAATTGACAAATTTTTTCTGTGAAATGAGAGAAGAATGAAGAAGCTTCGAGGAGACCATTCCTCCACTTCTTCAATTTTGTGAATCACATGAAGTATGTGCCTACGGGGGGGAGGCATATAATACGAATGTAGGTATACGTGGTTGTGGGGGCCATTTTTGAAAAATGCCGCCTCGCGAAGGAGACGCTGCGCACCCCGAGGGGGGAAGCGAAGCGGAAGAGGTCAGCGTAACGTGCGAGGCCAGTGAAGCGGAGCAAGAGGATAACGTGAAGGAAGTAAACAAAGAGGACGAAGCAAACGAAGCGGACGAAGCAAACGAAGCGGACGAAGCAATCGGAGCGGACAAAGCGATCGGAGCGGACGAAGTACACGACCGGGACAAAGCGATCGAGGGGGACGAGTTAGACATCCCTCATGAAGTGAACGAAAAGAACGAAGCAAACAAAATAGACGAGATGACAGACCGTGACGAATCAAACGAGGGGGACGAAGCGAACGAGGCGGATGAAGTAGACGACCTTGATGAAGCGAACGAAGCGGATGAAGTAGACGACCGTTATGAAGCAAACGGAGCGAACTCCCAATCCCCAGACGAAGCAAACCTTAACCATACGGACGACGCAAACTCCAACTCCGCGGAGGCGGCAACCGAAATGGACGAATCGTGCGCCGTGGCAAAGGCGCCCCCCACCAGCCGCCCCAGAAACGTAAAACTGTTTTGCAAGATGAAGAAGAAATACTTCTACCTTAAACAGACGGATTACCTGTCATACAAGTATCAGAGGAGGAAGCGGAAAAAGAGGAGGCGTGGAGAGGGCGCGTTGAACGCCACATGGAATGGCATAAATCGTTTGGCGAAGTCTGGGTACAAAGCGTACGATAAGGTGAAGGCCCACCTGAAAAGCATTTTCCCAAACCTGAATATGAAGCACAGTCTGTACGTGCTTGTAACGTACCTCCTAATAAACGTCGCGGTGTTCGTTTTTTCCCTGCTGCTTTATTTTTTCATATATTTTTATTTGATCCCCCAGAATAAATATGTGTATCCGGTGGAGTTTTCCCTCTCCAAAAGTCCCATAGAGGAGTATTTGCGTAGGAAGCGCTGTGAGCACCCGGGAGGGTGCGCCCCCGTGGAGGTGGACGGCAACGTGGACGGAGACCTAGACAGCACCGTGGACAGAGAGCCTCTTAACCAGGAAAACACCCTGGATGAGCCGCACCAAACATACCTGCACCATTTAAAGATGCTTCGAAGCGAAATTTTAAGCACCATAAAGAGGAAGGACACATGCTGCTGCTCGGAAAGGTGGAAAAACACAACAATGGGCACGCATCGGTTTCGTAGCAAAGAAGAAAATTATCGGAATAGGGAAAAATTGCACCACTTTGATAACGAAATGGAGTATGAATATTTGCAAAATAATATATTAACAGGTCAGGTGAATTTTCAAAAATGGTCAGGCAAAAATAAGTCGCACAACGATCAGAATTTTTTCCATTTTCTCATTCCCTTTTTGAAGAAAGAAGAAATTAGCAACCTGAAAATAAGAGAAGGATACAAAATCGACATTCTTTTGAATTTCTCCTACATGAATAATGACTACAACGACAAATTTAATTTTATCCAATTGCAGACGGAGATACATGACACGAATGGGGATGTCCTTGTTCGAAACGAAAAGCTACACATAAACAATAAGAGTTATAACTTTATAAATAAACTGCATTTATTTCTTAACGCCCCTTTTTATTTCTTCAACGTCTTTAATCGGAGAATAACGGAGATCCGCCTAGTCAATGGATACCAATATGGTCCCCCCTTTGGGAAAATCAACATTTATCTGTACCCGCCCATGCAGATTTATGAGGCCCATGTAGTGGTGCTTGTGTACGTCAATTTTGTTTACTACTACATGTATAATTATCCCTTTCTGTTTTTTTACGTGTTTGTTTTTGTGTTGTGCGCCTTACTCATTTTTGTCAACACGGTCCTCTTTCTCTTGGGCGCGCTGTGCTACTACATGCTCAGCTGAGTGCGCGCGGAAATAACGTGCGTGCACATCGTCGTACGAACCAACGCAAAAATGGAAGAAATAAACACACTCGCGAGGAAGAGAAAAGTGGGCAGGACGAATTCGCAAAGTTAAATGATGCACGCGGACAGATGAACCCGCTTATCTTTGCAACTGTGCATTGTTTTCAGGGGGGCTTCCCAATGTGATGTGCATTGTTCTCGACTTCGCGGGGAGAAGCGATTTTCTCCGTTTGCGTGTATTGCTCTTGTCCAGGTCACTTCGTCGACGCCGACGCCTCTTCCCCTTTGACATTTCTTCCGCTTTTGGCGACCCTCCAGTGGGGCATCGAAACTTAACAAAATACCCCCCGCCACGTCTTAATTCAAGCTATTTTGTTTTCAAAACGATGCCTTTACGTGTGCACCAACAATAAGGTAAGGCCACTCGGCCCGTTCACAAAAGAGTTCCTGCGAGCACGCCGGATTAGGGGTGGACGTCGCTTCCCTTCTTCTCCCATGGGGTGAAAAATAATACGCTCCTAAATAGCTTCCCCTGTCCTGCGAAGGGATAGGCACTTTGTGGCCGTCCCGGGTACTTCTACCCGAAGAGCGCAGTGTCGGGGCAATTGTTCCCCCTTTGCCCGTGTTAGTGCAAAAATGGGGGCCCTCATTGGGGCAGGAATCATGGCGCGGAATGTGAAAAAGGAAGGCCTCTCCACCGTGGCCTCGTTCGGTGCGCCTCTGCCGTCTCGAGTTTTTTTTTTTTTTTCTTTTTTCTTCATGAGGGCGCAAACTTCATGACTGCGGGTTTCAACTTGGCGGAATTTTTTTTTCACAAAATTCTCTCGGGGTCGGGCAGTGGCTCACTGTGTAGGGCATTTCAACAATGGGGAAAATCAGCGCCCGTGTTTAAGGGGAGTTCTAAAATTGCACCTCTTCGGTTTTCTCCGTGGCGTCTCGCCATTCGTAACTGTTCGCTTCATGTTGGCTTCCGTTTGACTTCCGTTTGACTTCTGTTTGGCTTCCGTCTCGCTTTCGCTTCGTTTTTGTTTTGCTTCGTTTGGATTCCTTTCTCTTCCTACCCTTTCCGTTTCGCTTTTTTGTTCCTTCAACTCGCAATGCCCTCCGTCCGAACTTCACGCTTAACGGAGAATCCCCCTTAAGTGAATTTCGACCACAGGCCATTCGCAAGCCCTGCGCGTGCATAGCCGATGCAAGGAGGCACCCTTTTTCTATTCTGGTTGTCTTCCAGAAGTAGTACCTCATGGGTTATGTGGGCTGGGCAATTTTCCTAATCTTCTCGGAAAAGTCCGCCCAGCATTTGAGAGTCTCCATTTTTATGTCTGTTTAGAGTTTCTCCCCCATCTTGTGCAATTTGTGTGCACTATCCGTTTGGGAGTTTTTCATTTTTTTTTTTTTTTTTACCCTCCCTTCTCTGTATCATCGTGAATACTTCATTGGCATACTTGGCCTCTCACTGGTGCAGCCACCTTCCCTGTTTTTTCCTTCCTGAAATTGCAGGTGCATGAACAGAGGCAGATCATAAGATCGGGAGGTTACATTTGTGAGGCGTCTTTCTCAATTATCTCGATAATGTCCCTGTCAAGCGTAGTCTTACAAGCAGAAAACACACATACATATATGCACACCTATATATCTGTATGTATATGCATACATCTATATATCCGTGTAGTTTACGCCGCCACCACCCAATGAGCTAAATGAAGATCCATAACATCGGGGAAGAGTCCATCCACAACATATGCAGCAGCCAAGTGATATTCACGCTAAGCAGTGTAGTAAAAGAGCTAGTGGAAAATAGCATAGACGCAGATGCAACAGAGATAAAGATAAAGCTAGTCGAAAATGGGATCAAATTAATACAAGTTAATGACAATGGAGCAGGAATTAAAAAGTCCAATTTTGAAAACGTGTGCGCCAGACATGCCACGTCAAAGATTACTCAATTTGAAGATATACACAGCTCCTTAAATACATTAGGGTTCAGAGGAGAAGCATTAAACTCCTTGTGTGTGTTAAGCGATCTAAACATTGTAACAAAACATGATGAAAGTAGCCACGGGTATTTGCTAAAATTTGATAGCCTGGGAAGACTAAGTCATGAAGAACCAATGGCACGATTGAGAGGAACAACAGTAAGCTGTGAGAATATTTTTAAAAACATCCCCATACGGAAGAAGGACTTTATAAAAAATATAAAATCGCAGCTCTCCGATTTGCTTCTCCTTATGCAACAGTACGCAATTATCTACTGTCACGTTAAGTTTTCCATTCACAACATCGTCACGGTGAAGGGGAACGTGAAGAATATGAATATGCTATTAACAAACGGAGGGAATGAAACTGTTAAGGGGACTGTTCATACAATATATGGGAAAAAAAGCGTCGGCAATCTTCTCGATTTCGATATAGACTCAGAAGAGTGGAAGATCAGGGCATACATAAGTGATAACAATAGTGGCAGGAGAGATAGGGACATCCAATTCTATTACATTAACAGTAGACCAATACATGTCCTAAAAAATGTCAATAAGATTATTAACTCCATTTACAAAGAATTTAATAGTAAGCTGTACCCCATCATCATCTGCAACATCCTCTCCGACAACAAAAATTTCGATATCAATGTGACTCCAGATAAGAGAGAAGTCTTCTTTATTTACGAAAATGAGTTGTGTGAGAAGATCAAGATATCCTTAGTTAAGTTGCTCACTGCGAAGACTAGCCAACTCGTCGATACGCACATCGGGGATTATTTTTTGAAGGCTAACAATATAGAGGTCTCCATGTTGGGTGACTCCTCACATGGGAGGGGAATGCCTCTCAAAGCTAAGGAAGAAGATACGATCGCAAACGGGGGATCAACGCCGCCAGAGATCCTGCCCAGCGAGGAATCCCACGGCGGATACTACCCAAGCGAACCGATTGGACGTGCCCAAAATGGGAAAAAGACAGCACCTTCCTGGGAAGATGCTTCAACAGGGGAAAGCTTCCCCGAGCGGGAAAGAGGCATTACTGGGGGAGTCAAGGAGGAGCTGCCTATGGGACAGCAGGGCCTCCCAAATGGAAACCACGGAGGTGATCCAATTGGTGAAGCTGGTGAAACTAGCCAAGTTGACCAAATTAGCCAAGTTGACCAAATTAGCCAAGTTGGTGAAACTAGCCAAGTTGGTGAAACTAGCCAAGTTGGTGAAACTAGCCAAGTCGACCAAATTAGCCAAGTTAGCCAGAGGGACCATCAACATCCTGATGTGTGGCCGCCGCAAATTTCCGACGATGACGAATCGAGGGGAAGAGGCAGGTTCACAAGAAGTTCGCAACGCCATGTCTGTGTCCGAGTGAAGGAGGAGCACCCTCAGCAAGAGAAACCTCAGCAGGAGCACCTTCAGGAAGAGCGCACTCCCACCTTTCACTCCAGTGAGCAATCTTTTGGCACTCCTGTCGCTAGTGGGCAGAGTAGATCTCCTGAGCAAGTGGACCTCCCGAGCCGTTATCATCTCGCGGGGCGCGCACGGAAGGGCTCGGAAGTCGAAGGGTCCCTTTCAAAAAAAGACGTTCAGGGGGACTCTCAAGAGGAGGAGGTACCCACAGTGGAAGCGTACGAGTACAAGTTGGAGGGCGTCCCGACTGAGGAAGTATGCCGTCCGGAACATCACCCCAATTCTCAGGTGTATGAATACCAGCGGGGGGACGGTTCGACGACGCAGGGGTGCAAGCTGGAAGATTACCCTAAAGTACGTTCATTTGAGTATAAGTTGGAAGATTCGACTCAGGTGCGCGCCCAGGAGTACCAGCTGGAGGATCCGCCTAAGTCTGACTCGTACGAGTGTAAAATGGAGATGGGTGATAGCAGCCCCCACTACGAAATAATCCGCACAGATGGTGACGACTCTGTTGAAGGAGGAGAACTCCAGCCGGAAAGCCAACCTGAAGAAGGGAGCCACAGCCGCATTGCAGAATCACCCAACTTAGCCGACTCACCCGACTCACGGGACCCTCCCGACTACACCTTCGAAGATTTAAAAGAGAACATAAAACAGAGTTGTATCAAGACAATCCCCATAGACATCAACATGTATATCAACAGGGAACAGATGAAGAGCGGGTTCGATTATGATCAGATCCATGTTGTCACTTTAACAAATAGCGAAAAAATTAAAAACATAATTTTTCCAAAGGAGAAAGAACAAGAAAAGGCGAACAACTACCTGTGTCTAACTGATGAGGAGGAAGTCAGTGAGTACGCCGATTTGTTTAATAGCAGCCTGAGCATCAAGGAGGCCGCTGCGATGGAGAGCCAGGTGAAAAGCGGCTCCGGAGGAGGCTCTGGTGAAGACATCAGCTTTAGCAACATTGACGAACGGCAAAGGGATTTATATTTTAAGTCCAACTTGTTTGAAAAACTTAAAATCTGCGGGCAATTCAACAAAGGGTTTCTCATCTCCAAAATTGACCTATTGTACTTTAGAAGTGCTCGTGGAGGAAACGTGGCAGATCTGGTAGGGTCTGGGGGAGAGGAAGTCGAACCAAAGGGGAACAGCAGCTACGCCCTGTTCATTATAGACCAGCATGCTGCAGACGAGAAGTCCAATTTCGAAAAATACAACAAAATATTCACGATGAAGTCGCAGAAGTTGATTAGCAAAATTGACTTGGAGTTGAGTCCTGCGCAGATTTATATCATCGAGAAGAACTTGGAGATATTTTTGCACAATGGGTTCGACGTGGAGATTGTGGAGGAGCCCGCTCAGAAGAGGAGAAAGCTGGAAGGGGCCGACTCGATCGATGCCACAGAGGTGACCGACGTGACGGATGCGAGGGACGCGGGGGAAAGCGCCCTCATGCAAGTGAAGGTCTACTTGCTGTCCCTACCCGTGTTCAACGGGAAGATTCTGGAGGTGGAAGATTTTATGTCCCTGCTGCACCACCTGACAGAGCACCCGATAACGTACGACAAGGCCAGTTTCCAGATGTTCATACGGAACAGGGGCCAACCCAATAACAAGACAGACACCTGGTTTAACTACAACTTCCCGCGCCCCCAGAGGGTCTGGCGAATCTTGGCCTCCAAGTAACAGAGGCGGAGTGCTCAAGCGGTGGTGCACCGGAGCGGCGACGCCAAGCGTCTAGGAGAAACGGCGCGCCCATGCTTGTCCTGTGTGCGACACGTGTGCAATATCTATACAATATGTTTCACATACTTCACCTGTCCTCCCCCCATAGAGCCTGCAGAAACTCCATCATGGTCGGGAAAACCCTAAACGTGCCCGAAATGATCAAGATTAAGAAGAAACTTAGCGTGCTGAAGAACCCATGGAACTGCCCCCACGGCAGGCCGACCATCAAGTACATCATAAACGACATGGACATAAAAAGCTGCTTCCAAAATTACTACCTAAAGCTGTACGACGAAATTACAAATCTTATTGTGACGAAGAATTACGATGCGTACAAGTATCTCTTCCACAACCACGCCTTCTTTTTGATTATGTCTACCAAGCCAATGCTCGGCCCGGTCCTAAAGTTTCAGTGATGGAGGGGTTGGCCGAGTTAGCGGCGTCGGCAGAGTTAGCGGCATTGGCAGAGTTAGCGACGTTGACCGTGCTGGCCGCGTCACCGTTGTTGGCGGTGGAGTGCACCTTTTTTACACCTTTTCTTTTTCTCTCCAAAAGTTTTCTAATTGCGCATTCGCACCATTTGCGTAAAAACGATTTGCTCGACGTTGCATGCAAAAATTTGGGGTCATTCCCGTGGCCGTTTGTGAAATTATTTTTCTCTTTTTTTTTTTTTGTCACTCGATGTGCGCCGCTCAGAGGAATGCATTAGCTGGGTTGATGTTGGACCTAAAAATGAGGAGGGGGTAAATAGAGAAACACACAAAAAAATGTGGAGGAGGAGAAATATGCATATCTTGCGGTTATCACCGCCGCTGTCGTAGGGGGGGCTCTTTTCCCCTTTCCTCTGGGCTTCCCCACAAAAATGCACCATCACGGAAGTGACACCCTACCGGTACTTCTTCATTAGGTCTTGGGTAAGTCTGACCCAGAGATAGAGAACCAACTTCTGTTCACGCCGATTGAGAAAATTCGTGCACGTGTTGTTGGAACAAACAGAATGGAAGGTAAATAGCTGGTAATGGAGAAGCATCAAATATAAGTCGTACTGATTTAACATGTTCTGGAGATATGTTTGTAGATCTTCCTGATACTCTTTCGCTTTGGTGAGGTGTAGCTCCTCCTCTTTCATTAACTTGAAGATGACTGCCTGGAAGTAGAAGTCGTAAACGTCTGCGGTGCGTGCGTAGAGGTCCATGAAGGAGAGGTAGAACAAGGGGAAGTGGTTTGTGCTCTTTTGGGTTGAGGACTCCTCTTTAGGGGAGTGACCCTGCACATGACGCAAGTGGTACGTATGATTTGGCTTATTTGACCCATTTGGCTGATTATGTTTTGTTTCCTGGCTGTCCGTTGTGTGCTTCCCCGGATGGCTAGCCGATGCCGTGTCCAACTGGGTTTCCCTGGGGAGATATCCCCCTAAGTGTTTCCCACCCCGTGCATCTTTGCAGTATTTCCTGAAGGAATAGTGCTGCATATATATGCTCTTGAAAAATGCCCCGTTAAACTTATTGTTGTGATAGTTCATTAGGTAGAAGCAGCTGGTGGGTGGCGTGAGGATGGGTTCCCCCTCTCGACGTGAAAGCGGACCACTAGTCCAGTGGTCTCTTCTTAACACTTGGTTAAATGAGCGTAAAAACGTCTCGTTATTCCCCTTCCCAGTGAAGAAATCATTGTAGCATATATCCTTCATGAGATATTCCTCAATGGAGCTTTTTATCTTCACGTCATTTCGGTACCAAGACCACATCCTACTCTTCTGCCCCAGCAGCTCGTCCGCCAGGTTCAGCTCATTGTGCATATACAACTTGAGGACAATTTTATACTTGATTAAATTCTCGAAGAAATGAAAATGGTTTGCAAAAAAAATTAAAATTTGAAACGCTTCTTCTCTTTCTCCTTTTTGCAACTCCTCTATTTCGATGTTCCAGTATCGTAGAATGTATGCTGCATACTTTACTAGGTCCATCATTTTGGATTTCCTCCACACCTGCTTCAGTCTCTCTTCGCACTCCTCCTTCGTGGTAAGCTTGTTTATGTACTTGGAGAGGAACCCTTTCCCATAATCATTCAGGATGGTTTCGCGCACCTTGGAAGTGTTAAACTGGAAGGGATCTTCCTCGTGGGGGTATTCCTCCTGGAGGTGTTCTTCATGGAGGTGCTCTCCATAGGGGGTTCCACCATCGAGCACGGCATTATCCCCGTTGTGGGGTGGTCCCACGAGGTTGTTTCCTGAACTTTGTTGTGACAGCCCCTTCATTGCGGTAGGGACAACTTCGGACATCACCTCCTCTGTCTGCGATTTGTTAGCGGTCTTATTGCTCGATTCTTCCCCTTCGAATTGTTCTCCTACGTGGTGGTCATTGCTACGATCGAGGGAACCGCTGCTCCACGGGGATTTTCCCTGCACTACTTCATTGGAACTTAGCAATCCCTGTGTATCCCCCGAGTCGACTTCCTTCTGTGTGGCACTTTCCTCCCTGTCTGTGAAGCTTTGCAAATAAAAGAGCACTGTTTTGTTCACTTTGGCACAGCTACCATTGGAGGTGTCCGAATTATGTGAGTCTTCTACATGGGCTACTTCGTCATCATCCTCTTCTAGCGGTTGCGCTACCTCGAGGTGGCGAGCTGGAGCATGTGGGGAAGCAGAACTATCGCTAATACCCTCGTTGGTATTATTTCCCACGTTGGGCGTGTCTTCCATAGGTGTGGTGACCCCCGCAGATCGCCGCGCACTAAGCTGTGCACCTCCCTGCACACCGTAGAGGTGCCCTCTCCTGGTGTACCTCTTGCAGAGAAAGTTCATCTCAACGGACTCCCTTGCGTACTTGGCGTCAAAGATGCGGAACCACTCTCCATCGGTGATTATCTGTTTGATGGTTTCGTAATATTCCCAGTCTTTGAACGAATCAATGTTGTAATGCATTATCACCAGGAGGACCTTAATGAAGGAAGCAATCTTCGTTTGGAACAGGTCACTCGTGTCTCTCTTGATCTTGCTCTGTAGGAGTACCTTCTGTTTATTCGATTTTATTTGGGAATAATTGGACGTAAAAAATAGCAGTATAGTGCTTTTGATTTTTTTAAATAATTCCACTTCGTCTTCCAAGTTGAGCCTATTCCCTATGACTATTTTGCAGACTAGTACAATGGACTTGTCACAGTTGGAAAGGAGTTTCAGGTAAATGCGGCTCATCATGCTTCTAATCCGGTCATATGCCTGCTGGTTTAGGAAATGGGTGAAGACATTCCTCTTCATCTGCTTCGTTTGCTTCGTCTGTTCCGTCTTCCCCTGCTCCTGCTCCGTTTTCCCATACCCTGCAGAGTGGTACCCTCTTGCATAATCGTCGAGAAATTTTTGCACTTTCTTACATTTGAAGATGTGCGCCATGGTGGGGGGGACTACCACGTCGCTGTCGTCACATAGAAGCTCTACTACATACTCGATCAAGAGGAGGAGACTTAGGTAAACAAATTCATAACCCTTAACATACGTCTCGTCGACTAGGTTCAGAATTATACGAACAAAATCCGCCACGTCGTGTTTCGTGCATAGCTCCTTCCTCTCATTGTCAAACAGTACGTGTTGTTTCTCTTCCAAGAAGTATAGCTTGTTCACAGTAGGTAGAAATATATTACTGAGGTTAATGAGGAGGAGTACCGTTAAGCTTTTGAGGAGGCTCTGCTTGTTCTGGACGTGGTCATCCTGGTTGGGGATGTTATCCTCTGTGGGGGTGCCCGAGGTGTGGTCCCTGTCCTGCCCCCGTGGTGGCTCTTCACTCGTCTGGCCACCCAGCTGCTGACTGGAATGCTGACTGGAATGCTCACTCTGCTGCCCAGTTTTCCCCTCCCTGACCAAGTGCAAAACGTGCAGAAGCGCGAAAAAGTGAAAAATGAACCTGTTTCTCGACCTCCTTCTTTTATTCCTCAACAGCAGTATTGCCATCATCTGGAGGGAGAAAAAGACGTTGCGTCCACCCAAGCTGCGAAGAAAGTGATCAATCTGCTTTGCCTTATCATACAAGCTGAACACAGTTACTCTGCTCGAAAAACGGAGGAACAAAATTGCCTTGAGTTCGTTCCTTATAACCCTTTCTATTATCTCCTGGAGGGTTATGCGTTGACGGCAGAAGGAGACCACGGCGTTGCGCAGTTGGTGGTGCTTCGTCAGTTCAGTCAGTTCGGACGCTTCGGTCTTTTCGCCCTGTTCGCCTTTTCCGCCCCGCTCCCCCTTGCACCCCTTTTCAATTTGGCCAATGGTCCTCTCGTCCACTTCGACCTGGATGACCTCAGGACTACCTCTTCCCCGTGGGACCCCGTTGTCATCCTCGCAGTCTTCCGCGCCGCCAACTCCGTCATCCTTTTGGAAAAAATTGTTTATGTCCGCGATGAGGCTTTTTTCTTGATCCGTGTACGCGTAATGCTCGCCCGCGGATGTGCTTTCGTCGTTCACAGTTATAAGGGGTATACTTACAACGGAGGAACTGTCTTGAAAGTTCTGCTCGGCGCCATCCATCTGGGCGTCCACGATGTCGGCAAAGTTGTCGTCGCCGTCATCGTGGACCTCCATGCGCTTGTCAATGTACAGCTCGTCGTCGGTTTCCTCCGAACTGCCGCTGCGGGTTTTGAACACTTTGGGGTCTTCCGCTTCGGTTACTCTGCTGACTTGGCTAACTTTGGCGACTGCGCTCGCCTCGTGCACCTCTTCACCCCCCATCGCCACGTCATCATACAGACAGAACTCCCCCTCGAGGGCTATATCCCCTGGGGAGTAATGTTCCAATGTGGGCAAGTCTCCTCCCCCTTGGGGCTCGGCGGCACAAAAGTAGAAAAAATCATTCACTGAAAATGTTGCGTCTGAATTTTTGCGTGAGGAGAAGAACAGAACCATGAGAAGTTTGAGGAGTACGCGGCTAGCTGAGGCAGGGTCGCCTTCCCCATCGCACTGCACCAGGTGGAGAAACAGAAGGTATTCCACCCGATACAAATTATAGGTAACTAATTGGAGTAAAACTCCAGGGTTGTCCATCCCAAGTCTGTCCATCACATTGTAAAAGTGCAAAAATTTCTCCATTCGCCTTCTGTCTAGGAACATCCATTTGGTGAAGTTGAATTCGATGTTTCTACAAAAGTCATTTAGTGGGCGCTTCAGCAGGTGCGTAAATAAAAGTGTTGTCACCTTTTTTAAATTTCCCATTTTTAGTGCATTGCGGTAGAGGTAAAAATCGAGAAAGCACTTGTGGTGCTTCTCATTGGTATAGAAGAAATGGGACAAATTGTTTTTCACCTTTTTAATTTCAAATGGGTAAATACAATCTCTATTCTGCAGTAGGGTGAAAAGAAGGGAGTGCTTGGCATAGTCGTCCTCACTAGCGTCGAAGAGTTCCTGTATCACCTGGTGATTCTCCTCACTGGCATAGTAAAATGGGTCCAACTGAACATTTAGACCTTTTAACAGAAAACAAAAATCGTGGAGTTGCGGCATTATGTTAAATTTATTCCACAGATAAGTTACCAAACAGTATGCTCCCTCCTTTCCTAACTTATACGTTTGAACTTCTTTTGGTGCCTCCTTCACGTGGTCGCAAATGAGTTGGTCTAATTCGGGGTTATCGGGCTGTGCTTCCTTGAGGTGAAAATTGAAAGGGTTTAAAATATTCGAAGTGTACAATATTTTTGCTGCGTTCATTTTGGAGAGACTTTCTCTTGGTTCCCCTTCTTCGATGCACTGTGGTAGGAGGTCTCCTGTAGGGGTCTTCTTCTCTTCCTTCACATCTGCTGTGGCTGCTTCCAGACAAATCCACACATAACGCAGCTCGAGCAATTTTGTTACCACCTCTAGGCGAGATAACCTCTTCACGACCCGCGAGAGGGAAGAAAAGAGATTTCCCATGCTGAAGTCATAGAAGGAAGTCCTCAAAAAGTAGACAGCCGGGCAGAGGAAGTATAGACACGTCTCGTACATATAGAAGACAATCTTTCGCACAAAATGGAGGTTAAAATTGAGGTAGTCCAAATGGGTGGTAATATAAATCAGCAGAGCATTCTTTTCACTCCTCTGGAAGTGAGTAATCATTTGTTTTTCCACCTCAATTTCGAATAGAAACTGAAAGCGCTTATGGTCATTGAGGTCTTCTGCAATGGTGTTCTTCTCACTGAGGTGCTTTTGCACCATGCTACCTATTTCTTTGGGTCCATCTTGCCATCGTAAGTCATACACAACAGTGTCGTTATTTCTTCCCATATGGACGTTCATATCGAGAAGAGCCATCCTCGAAATGTCTCCTACTTTAATCAAAACCTGTAAAATTTTCTCACACCTCTCTTTGTCGAATTTTTCCACTAGCACTTTTTTATAGCTGTCCTCGACAAAAATTTTCTGCAAATCGATTTTGCTTAACTTGTTGGCCTTCAACTGGAGGAGCAAATATTTCGTAATTACCAGAATGTTGAGGATTTTTCTTAAAAATGGGGGCATTCCTTTTGACGCTTCGGGATGGACTCCCTCCTCTTTTGCTTCTCCCATCTGTGCATAATAAGAATACATACTTAACAGTAGCCTCTCAATAATGCCCATTTTTTTGTCTATCAGGATTGAATTATTCAGAATGATCTTCTTCACGAAGGTGTAGATAAATGAGTAATCCTCAACTTGTAGAAAGTACAGAAATGCAAAGTAGAGGTCACTTATGAGGAGAGAATTATATATGTTGCTTTTTTCGGCGGTCTTTCCTTTCTGATGATAGTGGTCCTCCCCTCTCGTGTTGAAGTGGTGAACATGTAAGGTGCTATCCATTCCCTTCAGTTTATTTTCGTTCCTCTTTAGGGCCCTCTTCACAACATCCACCGTTCTGGTGATATAGGCAACGTCCCACTTCGCTACGTTGTGCTTGTTAATCCGGTTCCGCGCCTTCTTTAGTAGATACGTAAGGGCATTCCTACTTTGTGAATCTCTTTTTCCTTTTCGTTGGGTGTGCCTGGAGATATCATTAGAGGGGAAGTCCGCTTCCTCCTTCCCCCATGCGCTGCTCCGTCGGATCATATGGGGGATTTCTTCGCCCTCCTCGCTGCTTCCCCCTTTGGGGGGGTTCCCCCGTGCTAGACGCTCTGAGTGGTCCATGAGGTGTCTCCTCCCGCGATCGTCATTTGCTAGGTTCGCGTCATCCGTGTCGTCCGCTTCACCCGTTTCATCCGTATCGTCCGATTCACACGTGTCACTCCCTTTGTGCGCTCCCCCCTCTTCAGCGGCGCCCCTTTCGCTGGCCGATTCACCAGACGACTTTCCCATTTCCTCAAAATCTGTACCCGTGCAGATGTCCTCCAGTTGGTCCAACTCTTTGTTGCTTTGGTTGGATTCGCCCCTTCGCCGGCCGCTCTCTCCGGGGCTCTTTCCACATGCGTTATCGCACTCGTCATCGCATTTGCCATCGCACTTCTCATCGCATTCGTCGATTTGATTCTCAAGGGGGTTGTTCTCCCCTTGGAACATTTCGATTACGACTTGCAGTTTTACATCGCCCAGATAATCTTCTTCATCAAAGGTGTGCTCGTATGGATCCATGGGCTCCTCCCTCGCCGTGTGCACAAGTTCTTCCAGCGGGATCTGGTAGTTCCTTTGACTGCGGAGTCTCCCCCTCGAAGCGTCTGCCGTTTCGGTAAGTTTACAGAATGCCTTTGTAATCCTGTTCATCTCCCCCGCGTCATGGTCTCGCGCTGATCCGAAATGGGGATGCTCACTTGTTAGTTCACTTATGTTCCTGCTTGTCTGATCACTTCTGACGGATCCCCCCTGCAGAGGGCACTCCGTGGCGTTTCCTCTCCCCTCTTGAAGAACACCCGGGTGGTAATTATTATTGCCTCCACTCCTGCCCTGGTTGCTCCTGAGATCTCCATCACTCCTCCTGTGCGACTTAATTTTACTATCTTGTAGAAAGTCATACAGGGAGAGGAAGCTATCATGCATGCTGTTCCAGTTTAGTCTCTGTCCCTTTGGGGGTCTCGTCGCAGGATTGAAGTACTCCCTTTTGGAGAAAACCGATTTGTACAGATGGGGAATACACTCGGGATGGTTTAGAGAAAAGTAAGCAATGAGAGACATGCCGAAATTATACACGTAGCTAGCAGATCGGTTGGAACATTCCGCGTAGTACATAATGGCATTGTGTAGAGCCCCCTTTTGGTCCTTCCCCAATTGATCATTTTGAAATAAAATGAGAAAAAGAATCAAGTAAAAGGGAAGAATCTGTACCTTTCGATGTAGCTGTAGGGTGCAGATAACGAAGAGGAGAGAATCCCTAAGATGGTCCTTTTCTAATTGGAGAAGTTTAATCAATTTTAGGGTCCTCCGTCGATTGTAGCAAATTGTAAGATCGTTCTGCATTACGTTTCTGAAGATGTGAAATCTATTCTTTTCGATGGCTATCCTGACATAAGAGTCGTAAAGAATGTTCTTGTAAAAAGGGGGTCGGTAAGTATTTCTCGTCTTCTTCTTTGCCCCCTCCTCAAGGTTCACATCGTTCGGGGCAATCCTTTCATACGACTGAGAAATTAATTTTGAAAACGATTTGTATATGTCTTCATTTGATGCTCTCTTTTGTGTTTGCTGTCTAGCCACGTAGTGACTCATGGAGGAAGGTCCACTTTCCTTTTCTCTCTCTCCCTTTCGATTTGCGAAGATCTGCATGTACCTCAGCATCTTCAAGTTCGTGAGAAGGTCTTTACTCTGGTCAGCCAAGTGGGACAGGAACCCTTCCCTTCTCTTAGAGTATATATGTTTTAGAAATTTGTAGAGGTGCTCAAAATTTTCGTTAATAGTCACTACTTTTGCCCTATTTAGGAGGAGATAATGTAGGAGGTCACCCCACCTTTCCCCACAGGGCGGTGTCTCTGTATGGAGCGGTCCCTCCCCACTGCCCTCCTTGTAATACCTCTGGAAAAAACTCAAAAGGTTGGTTAAATATTCAAAGTCGTTGGAATGGAAGAGGATGATATAGAAGAGGATGTGAAAGAAGGTGTGAATATCCACCAGGTAAAATAAATTATGATAGAGTTGGAAGCAGTTCTTCGTGAAATTTGTATCTTTGTACTGCGTGCAGGTCACTATCTTCTTGAATAACGTAAAAATGTTCAGTACAGTCTTCGTTTTACTATTTCGCGAGCTCACAATCATGTCGATTTCTACCTTGATTTCATCTTCTGCGTGCTGCGCGAAGTCTTTCTTCAAATATTTGATCAGCTCCAGGGCGTTCAGGTCCTTTTCGAAAACGTCCAGGAGTTTCTCCACCATGGGGGTGGCCTCGCTAGATGGGTTCACCATGGAGGCAGCCTGGACAGATGTGCTCCCCCAAGATTGACATCCCCCCGCTGCGTCTTCACAGTCGTCCCCGACAATGCGGCTCAAATGTTCGTCATAAATTACCGCTTTGTTGTTGCACTCCTCGCTGCGGAAGAGTTCTCCCAGATCGAACAGCTCCTCCCCCTGTGAGGAGGTCCCTGTTTGTAGCGACTCCACCCCCTGATTGGGGCCCTCCACGATCTGTCTCGGCAACAGGTTGTAAAAATCGCCCAAAATGGAAATAAAGTGCAACAGGTTAATGTGCATATACTTGTAGAAGATGACGAGAAATAAAACGGCAAACTCGTAATCGTTCCTCAGGATGGCTCTATGCTTGTACGCGTAGTAAATATATTTTAGGAAAACAAAAATTTTGTCAAGCTCAGTTTTGCGCTTCGATTGGGTATATCGCCCTAGGACTCCTTTTGCACTTGCTCGGATTGGACTTCTTCCAATCGTAATCTCCCGTTGACCGAAACATTCACTCCACGTTAGGTGGCTGGACCAAGTGGCATTATGCTTCTTCCCCTTCCCCTCTCGCTCAGCACCGTTGTGACCGTTTCTCCCCTGTAGCAGTCTTAATGTCTTTAAACAGAATAGGACAAAAATCTGTTGAGAGGAGTACAGCAGATTGAAGTAGATGCTCTCCAGCAGGTTCTTCGGTTTTTCGTATACCAAATTGACAATCTCTTTTGTGAAAAGTCTGCACTTGTCTGTTCCTGCACATGCGATGTGCTCATCGATGAAATGGTAGTTGCTCAGAAATTCCTCCAAAGTGTCATAAAAGACTTTTATGTAGCCATCCTGGTCTGATTCCAAAGACATGTACTTTATGTCAAACTCCAGGATGAGACACAACCGCGTGTACACATCCATAAGTACAAAATCGTCAAACTTGACATTTTTATGATTCTCTTTGCAGAGCACGTATTGCTTAAGGAGGGTGAAGAAGCTGTATATAAGGAGCACATTTTTCCTCGGAATGTTGTCCTTTTTAATCTGTACTTGTAGATTCTTCTTTATCCAGAGGGGATCACCAAAATTGGGAGCCTCGACTCTGCTTTCCCTGTGCAAACCGAGTTGTTCCCTTCCTGGAGCAACTCTACTGTGGGTATTCCTCGAATCTCGTGTGACAGCGCTAGGATTTTCTTCCCCCACCCGTAACACGGTTTGCACAGTGGCAGATTGGTAAGGATACGATTGACAAAAATACGATTCGTCAAAAGTAAGTCTCTTCAAAACGGGGTCGTATTTAAAAAGATCATAAATGTTATCACCACTTATCTGTTGCAAACAGACATACACGAATGGCAGGAGGCGACTCTTAACCAACCTGGTTCTCTTCATTATGGCAATGCATCTGCTGAAGAAGAACTCGAAAAAGGCATGATCATCAGAGTGTATTTCGTAATGATTAGAAAATCCTTTGGGGAGATGATTTTCTCGAGTCCACTTTGCATATTCTTCTTCCTCATCCGTTTCATCCCTTTTTGCAAGGTTGGAAGAAAGACAGATGGTTCCCCCCCCCGCATCAACACATGCATCGTCAACAGGGTTAGACACTCTATTATGTGTATATTCATCGTGGAGAGCTTTCCCTGGTAAAAGACTCTCTCCCCCACCAGGGTGGAGTTTATTACCCTCCGGTGCTTTAACCCTCGGGAGGAGAAGAAAAAAATCCTCAACTTTGGTGTTAACCGGGATGTAATCAAATATCCTTTGCCAATTGTGGTTAACAAAAAAACGAAAATATTTATACAAAATTTTCACTAAGACATAATTCTGGTTTATTACAAAATATTTTACAATATCGAATGGGGTGTAGTAGTACTTAAATTTTGTCCAGCTGATGATGTAAATGTTGGACGCTTTTACTTCTGCACTGCTTTGAGTGAACCCTTCGCTGCTGGCGGTTCTGTTCATATTGTCTTCTTCTCCCATCTTTGTAGAATCATTTATGTTTTTTTTGAACATGTTGAAAATGTCGGACAGTTTATTTTTATTACTGTAGCGGTTGTGCTTGTCGGAGTTTAAATTGGGGGGGTGTTGGTTTTCTCCCCTTGAGGTGTCACAGCCCGAGTGGTTACTTCCCTTACGTCTTTCTCGATCCAGAAGCTTCATGAGGTAGCTATACATTTTGTATTTATAAATCTGCCGCAGTATCTCCTTTCTGTACAGCTTCAATTTCGTTTTTACAATTTCGTTTTTCTCTACCGGTTTGCGGAACTCTCTGAACGAGTTGTAATCCACGTCGTGGAGAAATATGCTGTGGGGAACTCTCCTCTTCACTTCGTCATTATGTATTTTCAGTGAGTTCGACGCAGAGATGCTTCCTTTCCCCCTTCGAACGCTATCACCAGCTTCGCTGCTGCTGCTGCTCTCAACTCCGCTTAAATCTGCCTGGTCGATCGAAAGTCCCCATATCTCGCTGATTCGGTTTTTCTTCTCCTCACTATAACCGCTGCCGCTGTTCTTATCGTCCCTGTCGCTTTCGTCTTGGGGCTCTCCCTCGTTCGGAGGTTCTGATGTGTGGCCATCCATATGCATAGTGGCTTGTCTGCCTTTGCGGGCCCCCTGTGGTCTCTTCCTTCGGCGCTTCCTTACCTTATTTTTTATCAACCTGGTTAGAAAGTAGCTCTCTTCATCGGTGTGGTTCCCATCGTCGCTCTCGTCGGAGGTGACTATGACATCACCAAACGACTTCACCTCGCCAACCGACTGCGCATCGCCCAACAGATACAGGACACTTCGCAGGGAGATACACAGCACAGTTTTCAACTTGAGCATCTGTATGTTTATGTCGACATGCTGCATCAAGTTTGCACTACTTACCCTTTTCACATTGTAATAGTTATTGACATATTTGGAAGTAACCTCATTATCGCCTGACTCGTTCAGAAGATAAAACATGTTGTGGTAGTTATTATTTTCCTCGTTTTTGTTAAGATTGGTAGGGACATATTTGTACTGGCCGATTCCGTTGTTTTTCAAATTGAGCATTTCGATTATGTTTGGGTCGTCTTCTTCTCTGAAAAAAAACGGGTCGTACGTCACGGCTCTCTCCAGGAAGTCAAACAGGTTTTTTATTTGGAAGAGGCACTGCAAGGGGAAGGGAAAAAAAAAAAAAAAAGAAACATTCGCAGGGGTGGATATATGTGTGAATGGGTAACATCTTCTTCGGTGAGATCACGACGCTTCCAAGATTATGCAAGAGGGAAGAACATTATAGAAATATTAGCTGATTATATACATGAGCAAGTGTGCACGTTGAACAGAGAGTCATAACATGTGGAAGCATCCACGTGTGCAATGGAGTGAACCCCTCACAGTTGGGCTTCGCGGGAGATGTTGCATCGCCCACATGGGGTTGAGGGGATTACCCACCTGGAAATCGCTCAGGGGGGCCTCGAAGTACCTCCCTCCGTAGTCATAAATGGAGTAAACGAAAAGTTGATGCAAAGACGCCATGCCATTCTGCTCAGCTGCCAACACAGCATCGTGGTAGTTATAAAAAAATAAATGAATTAAAAATTCCGACATGTTCAGAAATTTTATTTTATACAAAATTAAATTAAAATCGTCTTCTGTATTTTCCAGAATCACGTAGTAGTCATCAATACTGCACAGGTATATGTTGCTACACGGCTGTACATCATCGGATCGACTTTTATTTTTTGTTATGTCTTTTAAAAAATCCATGTTCATGAAGCCCTTTTCGGAGGTGTCCTCACTTAATGCGTTTATAAATATTTTTCTTTTATTTTGACTTATGTCGTGCACGTCTAAGTATGCTCTTAGGGTTAGAATCTCTTGTCTCTTTTGTTCTGCGCCTGCTCCGTTTGGGGAGTCCGCCGAGTTGTCCTCATCTGCAAAGCTTCCCATCCTGGACAATCGGCTGTTCAAAATTTGAATTGTCTCTCCATACAGGGCGTAAATCCCATCGTCCAAGTTAATGCTCTCCGTGTTCGTACGGACACCCCGTAGGTTCACAAAGCACATGTGCATATTATGCCTCTTAATTAATTGCTCATTGATGTCGTACAGGAGGGAGTTATTGCTGAACTTGTCTTGATAAAGAAAGCGCAAGAGAAAAAAATTCTCTATCTCATTGCAATACAGATTTAACTTGCTTGTGACGCTCTTCACGAGGGAGCTGTACTTGTAATTGCTCCCATTGTCCTCTGCGTCGGGGAGGAAGCGCTCACTGTATGTTAGAAGCAGGGTGTTGTCCTCACACATTTGAAGGGAGGAAATTCTTTTCACCTTGTCTGCGCCGTTAGATGGGCAATCCGATGCGTCATCAGATGCGTCACCCGATGTACATTCCTCCACTTCGTGCAAGCTTTTATTTTTAAAATATTTCAGGACGTTTGATTTATTTTTGTCCAAGTATTTAAAAAATTTGTATTTGTTCATCTTTCCCCCCTTCTGGTAAACGGCCACTTCATTTGTGCTAAACAACACTACAATGTAGTTGTCGTTAAAATCGAGGCAGTTAATATATTTTGCTTTCTCCTCCAGGTTAACACCAGGGGAAACACTCAAACGAATTTCCTCCAACTGCTTAGTGGCAAAGTTGTACATAATTGTGTTGACTTCCTTCCCCTCTTCGTCAACACAGTGAGCAATAATTAGGGTGTCCCCATTTTTTACCTTAAAATAATACACTTGATTGCCTTTTTGGAAGTTAAAATGATTGATCTTCTTTGGGGAAATGCCACCGTTCAGGCAGTCTTTGACATCTGTTTGCTTGAGTAGAAAAAAAAAAAAAATAAATAACGACATGACATAACATGACGAAGAGGTGGTGGTGGTGGGTGTCCACATGGTGACATCGTGCAGGGGGATGGGCCTATGCTTAACTGACCGATCCGTGAGAAAATGATATGTTGGTGGGTCACCCCTATACGTAGCCGTAATGTCCCAGCGGGACACTCAGCTAACACGGCGCTATTCTCTTAACGAAAGAGTTCCCCCTTTTTATGACGTCTTACCCATAGTGCCCCATTTCGGTCGACAATGTAAATGGAACCCTTATGTACGCAGAAGAAAAGGGCATTCGATGAGAGGTCCTGTCTCCTCAACAATCTTATTTCGTTTAAGTGTTTATTCTTGTTAATACGATCGAAGGCCTGCAGGGAAATGTGATTGTTCCTCTGCAAGACGAGTACGTCCGAGTCACCAATGCAGACGCATTTGTCAATTTTGTGGGAACCTGCATTCGGGGTGGGTGGCGGAGGAAAATAAGTTACCATAAGTAATACATGGTGGGGGGGAGGGGGAAGGTACAATTTTGTGGGCAAGGATCCACGGAGAATGTGCGTCAAAAGTGACCGTAAGTACGTTCTCCTGCTGCTGTTTGGGGGCTGCCTCTATTTATTTGCCTTTTCAAGTCTGGGCTTTTGAATTCTTCCAAGTGGGGAATGAAGAATCGTCCCAATTGTGGTTCCCCTCTAAGCGGAACCCTCCCCAGCTTTCGCTATCTCATTACTGTTATGCCGGAACACCCTCCAGGTGTTGCTTCGCCGCACACAAATGAATATGTGCCTTTCCAAAGAAATGGTGACTGTGTCTCCATATTTGCACACCGTTCTTCTGTCGGAGCAGGGTCTGTTTCGAGAGTTTTCCGTCTGTCCTATGTTCCGAATGGCTTTACTTTTCTTGTAAAAAACGTTCAAGTCGCGCGCGAAATCCCGCACATTGATCTCCAGTACTCTGTCAATTTTGATCATTTTGCATTGTAGTAGGAAGCGAAAGTATTGGCTGCTGCGCAGTGGAATTGCTTGGAACACTCCCCCCTTTGCAGTCAAGCTGCTTGGAATACTCCTCTGCAATCGAGCTTCTTCGGACACTGCTCAACAGTGGAATAATCTCATTGGCGCTGTTTCACTTAATCATACTTTTTACAAAAGTTTCAGTTTTCCCAGCGGCGGCGTTTGCAAAAGCACTCACTGGGGAGAAGGGGCCTGCAAGTTGGTTCTCTTACCCGTACATGCATGAATACACATGAATATATATGCATACATAAAATGCTTACATCAAAATACCCCCCCGACATTGGGCAACATTCACGTGCCCTGAGGGGAACTGCCTTAACTTATCTCGTGCTTGCAAAGGTAACGGGACATGCAAGTGCTACGTGGGCAGGCACATGCAGCAGTTAACCTTCGGAAGAGAAGTTACAGAGTGCTCACATAAAGGAGGAAAAAAAGAAGAAAAAAAAAGAATATAATGCCAACCGGAATAGGCATAAGAAAAAAAGGCGCACCATGAAACAAGCATAAACAAGGCTCCTTATAAATGGAATGCAAGCGGAAAGGAAAAAAAAAACACCTGCACGTTGGCATTTTTATTCTGTCGACAAATAACTTTTGCTTGCGCGAAATGACAACCGACTTAACATGAAAAAAGCGTTGTGCGCGCTTTTAGTGTTTCCCGGTTTTTTAAGCGATTGGGCAACAGAGTGAAGCGCGTTCCTAATGGAATACCGCACCTTTGGAGGAAACTTGCTTTTTTTCTTTTCCTATTTCTACACATCTGTTTTGGCGATTACAGGGGTGAATTTTGAAAGGATGTATTTTCCCCCCATGGTCGTCCTTCCCCCATCTGCTACGCATTTGCAGAAGGGGCTCCTCGCCAAATTGCCAAAATCTGCGCGAGACAGGGGAGGCGAAACGTGCGCATAAATCTGCTCCCAGCGGTGCCTCCACTTAAGCGCTTGTATATTTACTGTGTGGACAGCATTTGTTGATGGGGTTACCGAGGGAAGAAAAACTTTCGCACTTGAGTCGGAATGGTCCGCTGCAACCCCGCGGAAGTAGAAGAAAAACTTGGTCGGGGATGCTCCCCAAAAGAATAACGATGTTGTGCTTCCCCGAAGGTCAATTGCAAACCCGTTTGCCCTTGGCGCGACGCTCCGCTTCCCATTTTAAGTCGCTAACGTGTAAGTGGACTTATTTACATTTTGCCGCCCAAAGTAGGAAGAAAAAACAAAGGTAATAAAACAAAAATGACGAATGAGGGGAGGGGAAAAAAAAGAAGTTAAATGATAAAAAAATGTGCATAGTCTGCCGGTGAGGCGGGGTGGAATGAAAAGGTATACAGTAAAAAAAAAAAAAAAAAAAAAAAAAAAAATCGCTACTTCATCGGAAACGAAGATAGACGACGATGTAGATCCCTCGGCTTCTCCACTGAACAGTGGTGAATACAAGGGAAACTGTTTTAACCTAAATTCGGATGATGAGAAGATCGAATTGTATGCTGGTATGGCTCATCCCAGGGGAAAAACAGAAGCAGGCAATTATCCCTGTTTGGGTGGTCGGGCAGGCCAGAAGGTAAGATCCAGGGTCAAAACGGGAGAACATGGTCCAAGACACAGGGGTGATAGTAGCGGAGAAAGCAGTGACCGTAGCAGCGCTAGCGGTTGTAGTAACAGCCAGGAGAGTGAGAATCCAAAAGGCATAGCGAACGCTCCCAAAGAGAATCACATCCGTGATAATTTCATAAAACAGGAGGACCCCCAAAGGAATAACACCGACGAGGTGTCACACATAGGAAAGTCAAGCGGTCAACGAATTAACCGGAACAGCACGTGCAAGAAGGCGGGAAGAAAAACTTCGGACGGTAAGATCCGCATGAAGGGTGAACACATGAGCGATAGCATCTATTCCTATCATAAGAACAGAGGAGACGGTGATGCACATGATGAGAACGCCGCAGCTAGGGCAGGAAATGGAACTTGCAAGGACACTGACATCGATGAGGCCAGCGAGGCACAGATGAACGACAGGAGCAGGGCCCTGCTGCAGGAGAATATGAACAGCATAAACAGCATGAATGTGATGGGATCGAACGAGAACGTGATGGGGGAGGCGGCGAACATAATGGAAGTGTCATCAAACGTGGGGGTCGCCAATCTGATGGTTCCAAATGATCGAGCCGGCAACGCCCAGAACAGCAACTCAATCAACGACAGCATCATCAGTAGCAATTCCCCCCTGGGCAGCGGCAGAATCCAAGCGAACAGAAGAAGAAGAAAAAACAGGAAAGCCCAAATTATCAAAAAGTGTGGCGGACTGAAAGACAAAGAAAAACCCATTTTGCCCTTTTATGTCATATGCGACTATCTAGATTTTGTGGAGAGAAAAATGTATGTAAACAGATTCCGATTTAAATTATATGACCCCATTTATCAGCTGGGGAAATATCGGAATTGTGCAGGGGTTGTTCTGAAGAAAGATTTGAAAAAAAGCTGTCTAAATTATATCGACTCTAATTTTCTATTTTTAAAAAAGGAGTTATGCAAAATCGATCTGGACATTGACATAAGATGTCCAACCAAACAGATCTTTAAGCATGTCTGCTATCGAATGAATGTGGACCCCACGCATGTGCTGATTTTCCCTTACCCCCCGCTAAATAGCCCTATAAATTTTAACCCTTACAATATTGATTCGTTCACCTCTAATTCGGATTCAGATGGAGAGAATTACCAAAAGAATAGCAACTCGACATATGGACCCATGCCATTTGAAACGATAATAAAACAACTTTCCGTAGCGTTGGAACACAACTCACTCACGGAACAGAAAACCTTCTGTTTGTCTCTTCTTCCATTTCATTATAAATACTTCACGAGACTGTACCCGGAGGATTCCCCCAAATATTTCCACTATGTAGTTCACTTGTTTAACGCGAATGTACAGTCTGTTGCGGCATTTACAGGGCATATTAAGCTTAAGAAAAGCCTGCCTAATAAGGATAAAGGGGAGAAAAATTACTTCCAAAGGGATGTCGACTCCAGCAGTGATGTCTCCGGATCGTCCAGCTCGGACAGGTTCAGTAGCACCATGGCGAACCGACACTATTCGTCCGACAATTACACAACAGTTCAAGATTTAATCGACAAAATTAAGTTAGAAATTAACCCCTACTTGAAAAAAAGAGGAATAGATGTCAAGCAGAAATTTCGACTGTTGTTTACCTTCGGCCCCAAAATTAAGTACCTCAGCCATAATGAGCAGCTGGTACAAATGGATTTCGTCAAGACGAACCATATCAAAAATGTGTATGTCACTCCGCTAAGGATGGAGCCTGATTTTACCGACGAGCAGAAACATTTGATAGAAACGGACCAGCTTAAGGTGGGCACCCCCGCGACCTGCGACTCCATGCGTGTGAAAAGAAATGGAGAGTATTGCTCTCTACAATTTAACCACCTCTTGACGATTTTAATTGGCGCGAGCTAGAATGGAGGAACACCAAAAGGAGAAAAATATAGGATCTCCATTTGTACTTCCATTTGTGCATCCATTTGCGCCTTCATCTTGTCTGCCCTCCCACCGTAAATTTTCGCCTTCCTGCTGTCACCTTCCCCTTTAGATAATTCACGTCTTCAATCAGACACCTTCGAAGGAAGTTTTCGGCTACAGTTTTGACGTCCTCGTGCATGTAAGGAACTGCCTCCCGAGCAGAAACAAATACATAAATATAATTATTCATTTTCGTGCCATGTGCCTGTGTGTGGTGTCACTCCCTCCTGTATGTATTCACCTCCCCTTTTTACGATTTCCTCCCCCCGCAGCCGAATGACAACATGCTGGACATCAAAAACAGGATAAGAAAAAGGACCCTCCTGCCCAAATACATATTCGACAAAATCACCTTCTTCGAGTTTGAGAACGGGCAGAGGATTTGGAGGTCCAATGACGACACCATCAATTGGAAGAACAAGCAGTTCGCGATCATTATAGGTGAGTCTTTTTTTTAACCTCCTCTACCCCCCTTGCGCTGTGTATATATGTATACGTATATATGCATAGAAGTGCTTATTTGCAGCGGGGTACACACCCTTTTGCGATTCCTTTTACGATTCCTTCTTGCGTGCTTGTTGTCACGGTTTCCTACCCCCGCGAGGCTAACATTGCCCCATTTGGGCTTCTCTCCCCCCCCTTTTTACCCTTCCACCCCGCAGGAGAACACCATGCCCCATCCCAGTCGAAGCCCCAAATGGGAATGAAAATAGCATAATCCTGATCGCCCCCTCTCTTCCAACATACGCACACGACAATTTTCCCTAATTTTTAATCTCTGGCTGCCAAAATGGACATTTCATTGGTTGATATCATTCTCACCCTCATTTTTATTAATTTTAGTTTTAATTTTATTTTTACGTTTAGTTTTAATTAATCTCTCCCTTTTTTCATCGCTCACTAGCTATTTCATCCTTGGTTGACAGCTGCTCTGGGGGTAGTGCTACATACCGCGAACGTTGCGCATGTGGTGTGTGCATGATGCGATTACATGCATCCTAGTACCCCCCCCTCACAACAGTGCATGCATGTTTGACAAAATGTGCAGGCATGTCCTAGTGCCTTATTTGCCTCCCCTGCCCCCCTTTTCACTTTTCCCCTACAATTGTAAAATTAATTCATTCATCGAATTAAAGAAAAGAATTTTCCATTATTAATTATACTTTGATCACCCTCGTTGTGTCTATATGTATATGTGTATCTTCGGATATGTGCATGTATCCCAACACACCTGTGGGCAGTGCGCTTGCCTGCCATACGTGTATAGAAAAATTAAAGCCTTTTTAATTTCCCCCTTTTTTTTTTTTTTTTTTTTTTTTTTTTTTTTTTTTTTTTTTTTTTTTCGCTTCTTCTTATGATCATATATTTCGTTCGTGTAGACAGATTCTAATGACTCCTCGGCGTTCAGCATGTAGTAGGCAGTGCTTTCTGAGGTGTATGTCAGATCCGAGTTGGCAGAGGAACAGAACGATATTTCGGAATCGTTCCTGGCGATTAGGTCGTTCGAAATATTATTTTCGTTGGAAGAATTAAAGTTGACGCTGGGTACTCGCAGGTTGTTATTATGTCCATAATCGTTTTTAAGATCACTGTTGCTCGTCGCGGAGATGTTCTTCCCGTCTTTCGCTCTTTCTCGTATCCCGTTGATGGTATTGGAGGTGCATTTATACACTAATCTGTCCGCTTGACCCTCATCATTTTTACCTGCGCTAATCGCCATGTGCGCAGCCTCCTTTTGAGCATATCCACTGGAGCAATTCAAATTTTGTATGGAAACACCCGTCACAGCTTCGTCGTGATTTTTTTTTTTCTTCTTTCTTTTGACTTCTTCCTTTTGTATACCTTTCTGAGGAACTCTCTTTTCGTCATCCGTTGAAAGATCCGAAGTAGGCGGAGAGTAAAATGGGTACTGGTAATCTCTACAAATATTTACACACTCATTGTTGTAAATGTTAGGCGGGTGGTTCTTCTTCTTTTTAAAAATGAGTTTTTTGTTGTTAACGGCAGCTTCGTTCACGGGTATGAGCATGCTTTTACTTAACAAGCAGTACTCGGTGTTCATTCCGTTTTTCTCAAATTTGGTACTGAACTTTTTGAGGTAAAGGTAAAGGTTCATCACTTCTTGGCTGCTCAGATTTTCTTTCATCATGTTTGGTGCAGTGAAGTCTGCGTCTTCGACATCCATGTGTTCGTCCATTACGTGGGTGTTGTCCTTCATATCGTCTATGAGGAGAGGCAGGGGGGGGTCCGCATGCTTCGCATGGTTCGCACGGTTTGCAAGGTTTGCATCTTCTTCATGCTGTTCATGCTTTGCATGGAGCGCTGCGTTGACTCCTTGAAGAGGGTCCTTCTCCACTGGGAGGTAGAAATTCAATCTTGTTCCATTCGGGTCCTTTGCGTCGGCTCCCTCCTTTTGGTCCATGCGAGGGGTGCCTTTGGTTCCGTCGAATCCTAGTGCTGTTTTCCGTGAGTTCTCCTCTTCCTCTGCCTCCTCGCTACGTGAAACAGCGTTTGCACCATTCTGGTCTTCCCCGTATGACAAGTAATTTTCCTGCTCCATACGACTCGGAGAGGCAAAATCGATAGCGCCAAAATCCATGTTCGCATCCTGCTGGACCGGCACTTCCGATCCCGTCTCCTTTTTCGTCTTCTTCGTCCTCAGATTGGGACTCCCTCCATTCACAAAGTAGTCATCATTGAGAAGGTCATTTTGGCAGAGTTCACTGGCGGTGGGGTCCCCGTTCAGGTTGGAAACTCCGGTGCTTGACACGGCGGGGAAGGCACAGTCAACGGAATCCGAAGCGCAGGAAGACACCTTGTAGTAGACTCCATTTTTATTGCTAACAATGTAGCAACATTTGTGCATTCTTTCAATAAGCTTTTTCTTCCTGTAGAGAATTTTACTCAGCACGTCAGCATTAAAGAAGAGGTCATAGGTGACTTGGTTCTCCTCAGTGAGAAAAAGATCCTCCTTCCTTGTGCCCAAGCGGACGATAAAATTTTTCTTCTTTTCCAGTTGTGCGTTACTCAGGAAGTTAAAGATGAGAATGTCCCCCGGAACCATCTTATTGTGAGCAATAATTTTTTTGGACTTAATTAAGTTACACTTATTTTTATACTCAATGAAGATTTTAAAATTCAGAGGGTCGTCTACGTAGTAGTATTCTTCCTGCTCATTGAGGTAACTCTTCCACATGTCATAATTATAGCTGGTAATATAACCCTTTTTCATTGCCTTCAATATTTTTTGGATAATCCTGCATTCTAATTCCTTAGGCTTCAGGTACACATCGCAGTACATTAGGTCCAGACAAATGAGGGACGTATCACCTATCTTTTCCTCCGCGTAGATATCAAAATATTTAAAAAAAAACAAAACGTTTTTATTTTTTGTGTTGGAATTGTTTTTTCGAATGGATGTTTTTTTGTTATGGGGCAAATATAATATGTCTATGGTTGGGAATAGATCGTTGGATTCTTTGTTCGTTTTTTTTAGGAGTTCGTATAAGTACAATTGACTGTTGATCTTCATGTCTAGAGGGAAGTAACGATACACATCATTCGTGGGCAGCAAAACGTAGAAACATTTTTTCTCCTTTACATAACCATTCGATGATGAGGAAGAGGCGGAAGAGTAGGAGTCTTCCCCCGAGTGGGACGAATAAGAAGAAGAGTAGTGCGACGAATTGTTTGACGAAGAGAAATTTTTCATTCTCGAGTTGTTCACGTGGGAGGATCTTCTTTTAACCCTTTCATTCTTCCTCTTGGAGAAATATTTAATGTATTTATCAATCGACTTGGTGCTGCAACAGGAGGGGACTGAAGACACCGTAGAGAAGGAATCCTCCTCCCCAGGGCTGTGCTGCGGAGGAAACTCCTCGGGGGGGTTATCACACGCTATCTTTATGTCGAGGGGCCCCTTTTCGGGGGTAGTACACTCTTCTTTCAATCCGCGCTCGCTCAACCCCTTTTTCGACGCGTCCTCTCGAGTACCCTTCCCCTGGATGTGCTCGTTCCGCTCGTTCCACTCCTTTTCCTGCGTTTTCTTCGCCCCCGATTTTTGATGTGAGGGTCGATTGTGTCCATTTCCATCGCTGCTTGCGCGGTCACTCCGGCTGGATGTCGCACCCGCTTTGTGAAGTCCACCAAGTGGAGCTTGGCGGTAGGGGTCGCCGCCGTCTGCCGGCGTTTCGGATTTGAGTAACGGGGACGTGGAGCTGTCCCCCATGGGGCGAGTGTCCCTCAGGTTGGATGTCTTCTCCACCCTCTCCCTCTTCAGCTTCGTAGAGCGGCCCAGCAGATAATCCGCGCGCTTCTTCCTCTTGCAGAGGTAAATCTTCTTTATGATTTTCAAAACTTTACAGAAGGTCTCCAAAACGGTTTTGTTCCTGTCAAATTTAATGTTAAAAAGGGAGGGGATACCTACTGGGGGGAGGTCACTAAACGACTTGTATAGATAGGAGTACTTATCGAAGACTCTAATTTTTACGTATTGTAATATTTCTTCTTTCAGTTTGGTCCTCCTTCTGTTGATAATTTCTTCCATTCTGCATCTCTTAACAACCTGTGGATTGACCACAGCTGGGTCACACTCTTTAATAAGCTTCGGGATGAGCGATTTTTTTACATAGACAAGCATATAGGCACTGTAGTGTTTCATCCTCTGTTTGATTTTATCTGCGATGTCAAAGTCGTACAAGTCTTTCTCCATGTTGATGTCGTACCCACCGAAGTTGTCGTTAATGACTGAGTATTCACTCACGCGAAATATTTTATCATCATCACATTTCAGCCAAAAATTTTCGTTATGCTTATAGCTGAAGGAGTAATAGTGTCCACTGTTCATATTCCCTTGGTGCACTGACACGGCCTGTAGGATATACTCTCCTCCATTTTTGCAATACTTTGATAGATCCAATTCTTTGTAAAATTCGAAGCGATTATTGAGCTTGACCGTTTCCATTCGTTGCAGATCGAATGTAAATCTTTTGAGGAGAAATATACAAATATTTGGGAAGCTGAGAAACCTCATGCCTTTTTTGGCTTTCTGTTTTCCGTACCCATCCGTTTCGTAAATATTATCTCCCTCTAGCACTTCTGCCTCGATTGCTTTGTCTAGAGATTCATAAATGTTGTTGCAGCCTTGTACGTCAAGCTGAATATCTTCGTAGGTCTCTTTCCTAACACTTTTGTAATCTATGTCTAGGCATTCTATATAAGTTTCTACTTCTCCTTCGAACATTTTTTTCACCGAGCCTTCGACTACCGTTCCCTTCATTTGTTCTTCCACCTTGTCCAGTAACAACTTTAGCAACTCGTGTGTGTCCTGTTGAGTGAACACATCACTTGCGTCCCATCCAAAGGATCTTATCAGCTCTTTACACGACACAGCTTCATTCATACAATGTAACTTGTAGAACAAATTTTGTAACGCCAAGGATGTTGGGAGGATGTTCTTCTTTTCGTTTTCTTCCTCCAGGAGGATGTTCTTGTAATCTATTTCTTTCGACTTATCATATTTTGTTTTCCTTTTATTTTTGTGGTAGTATGAGGAGGAGGCCGAGGAGCAGGACACGTAGGACGACGACCCGGAGGAGGTGATGGACAGGACGGACATGTCGCTGTCTGAGTAGGAACCGTCCTCATCTCCCCGAAGGGCACCATCCCTCTGATCGTCGTGATCATCCGCAGCAGAGTCTTCATCCGGGCTACCATCCACGTCCCCGTCCGCTTCGGCACCGGAACCATGGAGACCACCCAAGGGGGAGGATTCTCCATCCCGCGGCACGGGGCCCTCTTCGCCTTCGGAGTGACCCACGGAGTGACCCATTGAATGACCCCCTGAGTGACCCACGGAATGACCCAGGGCATTATTCACCGAGCTGTCATTTTCCTTCTTCACGCTACCACTTGGCGTTAAATCAAAATTGTTGTTAGAAGCGAACTTCTTTTTCTTCTTCTCCTTGGACACGGTCGAAATGTTTGACAAGTTATCGGACGAGCTAAAAGGGGACATCACATGATCGTTATTTTCACCCTGCTCCACCTTTCGCTCATTTGCATATTTGAAAATCTTTTTTTTTTTTTTTAAATTCTTCTTCGATTCGTACACCATTCCTTTTTTTTTGTTCTTCTTACAATTCACTGTCATCACCATTTCGTTGTTGTACCCTTCACTTTTGTACACAGAGTTGTCATAGTACATCTCGCCGCTATCGTTGTTGCTCACATTGTTTTGCATCCCTCCTGTGTCAATAGACGGGTCAGACGACGAATTATGCACGTAGGCATGCTTCTTATTGTTCTTTATTTCGTACTCGTGGGCCCCGACGCTAGGAATGTTGGCAATTTTTGCAATGTCGTTGTTGCTGATTCGACAAATATTTACAACGTTGCTGGGTCGATACGATGCCTCTTCCTGTGTTTGTTCCCCATCGTTGTTGCTTACCTGTTCATGGGGGGCGTACATATGCTGGTATTCGCTGATCGTTTTTTTCTCTTTTACGTTTTCTACTTTATCCGCTGGGAGCTGATGGAGGTGGTCATATGGACGTTCCATCAGAGGGGACCCACTGAAGGGGGACGAATCCGCTAGGGCCGCATTATGCAGTGCCCCCAAGGGGTCTTCCCTCGAGTGTCTCAGCTGACCAGTGGTACTGCTGCTACCATTATCGTTGTCGTTGCTCCTACTTAGATGATTCATCCGCAGGTCCGCATTTTCCATTTCATTCTTCATTCGGATGTTGTGATTGTGTTTTCCCATTTGGTACAACTGGGATTGATGAGGGTTTGCAGTAACTTCCGGTTCTCCAAAGGCTCCCCTTTGGATTCGGATATCGTGCTGATCCCCATCCCGCTTGTGTTCGTCCCCCTGGCGGATGTCGCCCTCTCCATCACGATTGCCCTCCTCGCCATTGTTGTCGCTAGGCGTGTAGGGTACCATCCTCATCGGGGAAGCCCCTTTGAAGTGTTCCGAATCGGAACTGTCTGCTTGCTCAAATTTTGTCTTTTTCTTCTTTCGGTTCTTCGCCTTCTTCGAGTCCACCTCCCGGCCGTTAGCAACGATCTGAGTGGTGCAACTCTTGTCACTAGTGAGGCACAACTTTTTCCTTCGTTTTTTTTTCTCAAATTTTTTTTTAAAAAACTCTAAAGTTTTCTCACCAATAATATTCTCTATGTTAAAAATCATCATACAAACAGCTTTCCGAAAAATGTTAATATGATAGAGAAGCTGGAGTAGGGCATTCATATAGCACGTCGCTCCATGATTTTTGAGACCAACAAATCCTGTCCTGGATTTACTATCATAGTTTATATCTCTGCTGTTTTTAAAAGATTCTGAACCGAAAGGGAAGACGCCAGCCCTTAGGACGATTTGCCCATTTTCATTGATAAATCCTGGCTCCCTTAATTTTTCGAAGGGAACAAAATTGTGCCAACCACGATCAGTATTCAAATGAGAAAAACTAAAGTGATCGATTTTGTAATACGATTTCCTATAATCTGCTAAGTTGATTAAAATTATATAGTATTGTACACTACTGAATCCCCAATCAGGAACCCAATCATCCTTTGCGATGGCTTCAATAAAGGATGATGCCACTGGATACATATAATTATTGGATCTCGACTTTGCAATAAATAAAAGTCGAAAGATAAAATTGGGACATACTTTCCATTCTGAGTAGACATCCTCATTGTTTCTAATTCGATCGAAAAAGTTGTCCACCACTAATTCAATTTCATTTTCGGTAACTTCCCTCAGGTTCTTATGACTGTATGGTCCATCGAAACTGACATTTTTACTTACTTCGAAATGGTTATTGTCGGCTAGCTTGTCTCCTTTCTGGCTGTAACTATTATTTTCGTCATAACTATCGTCTACATATATTTCATCAATTTTGCATGACTGCATGTTTTGTTCGTGAAACCGATTAAAGTTATTGTAATGATTGTAGGTGTTCATCGGATCATCTAGCATCCCATTTCCGTCCCCGTTCCCACTGTCTGACGAATTGCTTCTTCTATTCCTCGAGTAGTTCTCCTCCTCATCGTCGTTGCTGTTGTACATTTTCGCTGTTCCCTTCGATTGGGATGTTTCATATGTGTGCGGCTCGGGCACATATGGAGTTTGTCAGTGTCACGCAAATGGAGCGAATGAACAAAGAGAACGAGATGGACAAAATGGCACCGATTAAACGGACTAACTAAGAATCTTACGTATGATCGGCTACACGACCCACCGATAGATCAACTAGTGGGGCAGGCGCTCCCCACTTTATGTAAATGCATATAGAAAGGGACACGCGCGCCGTGGCGTGCACCGGCGCTTTGAATGACACGAACTCCTCCTAAAGGTGTAAATATGTGGCTTCTACACATACTGATGGGAACAAGATATATACCGTGATGCCTCTTTTAAAAAACAATGGTGTGCTTTGGAAAGATCATTTCTACGATGAGAGCATCGGTACTCATCATTAGTAGGCACAAAATGGACGCCACAAAAGAGGACAGCTATATGTCCTTTTGGATAAAAAATGAAAGGAGACTGGTACCACTTCGTTAACTCCAAATTGTCTCTTTGGCGATGCAACGTGTTCGTATGATAATATGTTCTGCTATTCTTCTTCCCACTTTTTTCGTGAGGTATTTTTGTCCAATTGTTTGGTCTCCTCGTTTGCATATAAGCATATGGAAGGAGAGATCGACTAACCCGGATGGGGTGCACATTCCTGTACATGCGCACGAGGTAGATCTCCCCCGGGAGCAAACACTCGTCTGTACTTGACCTTCACTCTATCGAAATGAACAATTCGTGAAGGGGGCAAACAACTCACAAATGAAAGAGTTTCGCTTTCAGGAGAGAAGCAAGACGGCCTCCTCTAACAACGACGCTGTTTTGATGGCTACTCTTGGCCAGCCCTGGGCTCTAATTCGATACAAGACGCAGTTCCCTCAGTATTGCTACCATCAGTGCCAACGGTGTGCTTACATGTAGCTCTCCTCTTGAAACTGCACACATGGGATATATACCCTCCTCAAGCGAAG